TTGCATTGTATTGTATGATAAAAATATAATGGAACATTTAACATTACGGGAATAGTTATAACATGTATTTTGTCATTTATTGTTTTTATCTATTTTACTAGATCCCAATGTCATCAAACTGAGCTATGATGAAGTACCATATGTGACCCAGGTACTTCAGGATGTGAGAGAAGAAGTCCAGGTCAACACCATGTGACAGTCTGATGACAAGAACTTGGTCACATGGTCACATGCTCATCAGAACCTGAACCAGTAAAACCTCATAGAACTCAACTCTCCAAGTTGAACAGCCAAGACTGGGCAAAGTTCACAAATGCCTGGTTCTAAAAACTGCTTGAAAATAAGCATTTTCCTTTGTTCACTTGGGCATTAAAGTACCCAGGAGTAGAGGTGTGCTGACCAATCGGTCACTGATGGTCCCACCGGTCCGATGGATCTGACAAAATGGTTCCATTTTGCCAGATCACATGGTGTCATTTATACCTAGAGCCAAAAATTAACAGTCAATCCACGTGACCAGTTTTGGTGATTGGCAGTGATCGGCCCTCATTGATCAGAATCGGCAGGAAAAAACTTAATCGGAGCATCTCTACCCAGGAGTAACATGATGGTTTTTAAGTTAATTAAAGTTTTCCGTTTTGAAACCATTACTTATCATATGGTTCTGTTTAAAATGGTTAAACATAAACTGAATTATTATATTTTCATTAATGCACTTACATTTGGGAGATTGAAAATGAAAATGTCTTTCCAGTTTTTTAAATAAAATTAGGAAATTAAAGTAATCTCATGTACATTCTGATTTTATGAGGGATATGTTGGAAATGTTTACAACTAAGTTGATTACTGCATTAATTTTTAGGCAAATTAAATTGGTGTGTTTTATTTGTGTTGTTATTTTTGTAATGTACTGTAACTGAATGCAATTCTATTTTCATGTATTAAAAGGATTTTGACCTGTTTCCTGGCCTACATTTATTGTATAAATCATGTGGTGCGACCGATTAAAAAAGTACATTTATTGAATTCAAAATAGAATATCTAGTATCTGGAGAATAAATATTAACCACTAATATAGTATCCTTAAGTGACTGGTATTTATTTATTATTTTAACACATTTTGATAAAATGGTGAAGAAAAATAGCGGTCAAATCAATTATAAATGGAATTTCACAAGTTTTTTTGGGGAAAAACTTTCATAATTGCCAGAAAAATAAAAAGAAATTTTAAAAATTTGTTTCTAAACACCTTAAATAAATAGAAACTTATAAAACAAATGTTTAGCACATCATGGAAAATACCTTATTTTTAGATAAATCACGGTCGCACCACATGACATTTTTTAGGACCACAGCCAAATCATATTGATAAAAAACCCTTGAAAAGGTCTAATTTGAATGTGGAATTATGATTTCTGTATGCACAAAATTTCAAATATTCTAGTAATTGCACCTGGTGGTGAGTTGGCTCCGGTGGTGGGGGAGGAAGCCGGTCAGACCTGGCAGGCCCAAACGTGTAGTG